TGGGAAGCAAGAGGAAAAGCTCATTTCTGAAAAAGAAACAATTTAGGAAATATCCATAAACTGGGCAAGTCTGCAACAAGCACATTCTAGCCTTGTCTCATTATCTTTGTTTTCCTCCAGACCTTATCACCACTAAGGAATTTAATCACAAAAATGACAAGTAGATGAAAGTATGAATCAGACTGGCACTGAATAAGAAGCCGTAGGAGAAACACCTACCTACACAACCCTGACAAATACAAATATAACAAGTCCCCCAGAGTCTCAGTGCAGACATGGGCTGCATAAGTTTGCTTGCACTGAAATCTCCACCTTTGGATGGGGTGCAGCATCCTGGAGGCTTCATATCACCCTGCGTCCACAGGCTCCACTATTTTTAATGAAGAATTTAGACACAAACTCATTCCAGGCTCTTTGAATTTTCAGATAATTTAGATTATTCCCTGGTGAATATGACAACAAGACCTAGCGCAGAACTCCAGGCTAGCAAATACAGGAGTCAAGCAGTGCACCTGTGCCCATCCCTGCACAAACACCACAGCAGGGGAAAGGCTGAACACATGCCTGGGCACACACAGGGACATCTGCGCTTTTGCTTGCTGTTGACAAGAAATTTGGCCCTCCCCTGCCAATTTTTTTTTTTTTTTCTAAAGGCTCTCATAAGGATCGAACTCCTGCAGCACGGCACCAAAGAAAATCAATATTATGAGCCCCACTGTACCCCTCCAGGTGATGCTAAGAGGGTGCTGATGAAGAGAGCCTGGGGAAGGCTGCCCTGCGTTGGCCTTGGAGCCAGCAGCTGTCAGCAGAGGGGCAGTACAAAGGAAAGCCCCTGCTTGCAGAACTGTGGCAATCTACCTACAAAAAATGCCATCTTTATACTATTAGCTGCTCGCATTTCCCTGAATTCTCTCTGTCGAACCACAGCAGAGAGCCCTAATAAGGGAAAACCCTTCCCTCTGAGCCTTAACAGACCAAGTATAGAGATACTTGCCTGTGCTCATTAAAAACAAGGAATGTTTAATCTAACTGCCACTGCTTTTCAGGCTGCTTCAAAAACACAACTTATTACGCTATACTTCAGATATGTGCTTTGAGGAGATTTAATTCTTATCTCTAGATGTGCTGATAGCACAAAGAAGCCTGGCTGATTTACTGAACAGCACTGTGCCTTTGGGAATAGTATTTGCCTTAGCTTTTTCTGCGATTAGAACATTTGCACAAAAAGCCTAGGTCATTATATTGAATTACTTCATTTCTGACTTTGCTTACTGTATGAAGTGCCAATCTTTGTACTGTTTTCCAGCACCTGAAAGGAGGCACTTACTTGCAACCAAATAATGTTTTCCATCCCCTCCTCCTGGCTTACTCTCCCTCTCATAACAAGCTTGATGCTCTCTGCGGGCCTTTGTGCTTCAGGGTGGTGATTTTGAGGAAAGCCCTTAGCTCAGTCTTGCAGATAATTCTCATACTTCTGTGAAACAGAAAAATACCCCACAAAAACATACAAATGGCTCTGAGGAGGCAGAAACTGCTCCAACAAAGAGATGAAGCCCATGGAGAAGGGGTCTGAGGTCTCTGTTCATGAAGGTTTTGCACACACTTTATGCCTACTGAGAGCAATCCTCAGCAGATCTGGACTGGTTCTGGAGCACACTTCATTCCAGGTCATTAAAATTCCAGCCGGTGCTCTCCTTTTGTTCACTTGCCAAAACATTCAGAAGTTACTTGTCCTGAACTACCTCTTTCCAGAAGTATCAATACCCAGCCGCCTTCTCATCCTCACAGGGAAACTCCCAGACATTAGACAGACAACCCTATCCATAGCTTAAAAAGGCATTTCTGCTGAGACAGCTATGTTCCCCAGCAGCCTGAAAACACAGCCTGTGGGTCTCCGCCACGGCTTTATATTTGCCCATCAGTCAGCTGGTGACACAGCTCCCCTGACAAATGCAAACATGTACATCGCTCGCTGGAAGGGAAGTTGGCATACGCTAAACACCTCATTTGCACCACATGGCCACAGATGGCAGCACATGGAGACACAGCAATTCGGTTTGGTTTAGCTACATATTTTGATGGAAGTGAAGAAACTGAAGAATTACTCTAAACACGGTTTGATCAGTGTGAGGAAGATAGAAGTACTGCAGCAACCCTACAGGTGCCCATGATAGAAAGGAAAAGATCTGCTTGGTGACTGTGCTCTAACTAGTGTCCTCCTCCGCTGAGTAAATCCACCTGAGCGGTGCCTCTGAACTTACTGGGCAAGATTTGCAGAAAGCAGCGCTGCCAATTTCAGCTGAGTCATGTGAATTCATCCCAACCAGCTCCTGCCCACCCCAGGAATCCGGACGTTCCAGTCTTTTAATAGATGCCTGAACTGGCATGACTTCTATTGGGTCTTTCTACAGTGCTTCAGAGGCAGGGAAAGCGTTAATCGTGCAAGTATTGAACATCAGTGCTATGCCTGACTTCCACAGAAATCCAAATCCTGGTACACATCTCCCTGTCAAATTCCTTATTTCCCCTCTGACCTTCCTTTAGCCAATATAGAGCAATTCACTCCAGAAGCATGAGGGCTGTCCAGATGCAAAGGCAGCATCCCGGATATGTCTATACATCATTTTACAATGACAAGACTAAAAATAGTTTAATTGTTCACTCAGGCTATGTCTGAAATTATTAATTCTAGAATATTGCTATTAAAGTTCATCAAATATTTTTTGGTTTGCATCACATATTCTGCACAGATGTTACTATGTTAACAGCTCATTTTCTGGCAGATTATGCAGTATTTTGGATTAAAAAAGAACAAACAAAACATAAAGCCACTTGAGACAGGTAAAAGTCTTCCCTGATTTTCTAACTCCAATTACTCTGGGCTCCACAATCTGAGATTTCTCCCATTCCAGAAATGATTGGAATACAATGGAATACAAAGGTCATACATGGAACTGCTTAGGCAGGCACTTGTTTTCCTTCAAACTCCTAAATCCTCTTTTTCCCTTCAATTCCTTTACCCTTCCACAGGAATCTCATGTCTCCATGTTTTCGCATGCAGTCTGGACATTTCACTATTGCCATTGCATCAGCCTTAAGTGTCGCATTAGTTAGCATTCAGCATACTTGAGGCATACACAGAGCAGCCACACATTTCATTCCCAATTATTTCTTAGCAAGACGCTCTAAATTAAATGAAGTAAAATTGTGGTTTTCCTTTGTTACAGTGTACTTCTTGTTTATAGTTCTTAAAAACACATACCTTGCCAACCGTTTCTGGATCAGAAAAATCTACAAACCTTTGCCCTGTCCAAATAACTGGTTTCACACAAGACAAAGAGAACCGCAACCACATTGTGGTTTTCAACAGTAAAATGTAGTTAAGTTGCTGCTTGAACAAGAGCTAAACTTCAAGCTGAGTTTTACCAAAGACCCAGCACTGCCTTCAAACTTGAATCTGTGCCTGAAGACCGTGGGCCAAAGCTTTGGCAAGTATTAATTGGCACAGTGATAGAGTAACCACCAGTTACCCCGCAGAAGACTTAGCTCTGCAATTGCAAGGAAATAGCTAATCATTTTAAGACAGATAATAATTGCAAAGCTCAGCTTGTCCATGAGTGACTAATGGGATTTCCTCTTCCTTAAAGTGCACAAAGATATATTAATACAGAAAACAGTGATTAAATTCTAATAATTCCTCTGTGACAGGAGTGTCCAAACAATGATCCTCTAGTGACTCGGTCATGACCCTACAGCTACTACCTCTTTAAATCAAGAGGACCAGGTATATGTTACTCACTATAATGGGCAAGTATAAAGAGGAAACATTGCCCTTCTCAGCTACCTTCCCATGGCGCTTCACAATGGGAACTAAGGACAGTATTTTTCCCCAAATTTCTTCAGCTCCAAAGTTCAGGGGAACCAAATAGAGCTCAAGCTTTTGCCAAAACTATCCTAAGCTAAAACCACAGCAGTGACACTGCTGGAGGAGCAGAGGATGGGTGTAAGGTTTGGTGGATAATACCGGATGGACTTGGGAACCCGCCAGATTTACCAGCAGTACATGCTGCTTCACACCCTCGGTGCCTCTGACTTCTTTCATGTCAACTATCTAAAACCTGCTTTGCAAATATGAGCCTGTGTGTGGCTGGGTTGGGTGTAAACAGGGAAGATTTAATTTGCATACCTCTGTCCTTTTACTGTACTGTGCTTTTATCAATAACTGAGGAGTCACATAAACTGCAGAACCCAAGGTGATGGCCAGGTTTTCTTGTGGTGCTCATCTCTTGCAGCATCTCATCTGTGCAAACCACGGCAATGTCTGCCACAGCTAAGCTGACTGGATTGCAGGACTCTCTCCTAACAATTGTACCAGAGCAAAGCACAAGTAATTTCACTAAAGTAAGAACAACAGCACTAAAACCATCAATGAAATTATGCAAAATGAAACAAATTGCAAGGGAAAAAAGTAGTATCTAAAATGGATATACCCTGCTTTTATATTACACTAGAAGAAAACATGGGAAATCAATATAGCACAGCCTACAATTTTGCTGTACTGAGTCCTAATGTTTTAAAACTTTATGTAAAAAGAAACAGTGATTGCAGTGCTGTTTGGATTACAGAAGATGCAAAGCTCTGTGCACATTCTAATGTATTTCTGCACTTTATATATATATGCGAGATAAATTATGTGTGCAGCAACGAGTACAAACAAATGAACAAGAGCCAGAGCTCTTCTGGAGAGATTTCAGGGACAGCAGGCCAGGACTGACTTGGATTCCGTTTCAAAACTTTCTGGAAAGAGAAATGTCCCTGCACATCAAAAAAGCTGGAATAAAGTGAAAGCAGAGGCATCTCTTTGCATCAGTAAGTGCCAGCCATTAATACCTTCCTTCCACGCTGTCAGAAATTGCCGAGACATTTGAAAGGTCACTTGTGAATAACCTGGGAAATTGTTAAAGCTCCAGACCTTCTGAAAACAGAACATAGGGCAGTACCTGTTGAAGTTGATCGGGTACAGGATAATATCCTCAGGTGCTCTGCCATCCCACTGGATGATATAAGCCTGCTCGAGCATGACGACAGGCTGGTACTGCTGGTATGGTGCTCCTCTGTTCACACCTTGCAACCGCAAGGGATGGGAATGGTATGCTGCTCTGGCAATGGATAAGGTCAGATTCTCAGGGCGTCTGGCCTGAATATAAAGCTGAGGGTGAAAGGAAAATGACAAACATATCCATTAAACCAGCCAGGCTCAGCCATAACATGTGCATTTGATCATTGTTGCCTGTAAATGGTTTTTGCCAATGAAGAGCTCAGAACATTTGGAAAGTCACTGAAACATTTCCAGTTCAAATAAAAAGGTAAAACAGAAATAGCATCTGCAGCCATTCGCAGGGACACCATGAAGTGAGATATGAATTGTACAGCGCCATAAAAATGTTCGCTATTCAAAATCTTAAGGGAGAAGGGTAATCAAGGAAATATCACAAAGTAATTCTTTTTTATGGATTCAAATAGCTGCACTTTAAAAACAGGCTTATTCCATTGAAAATACAGAAAACTCTTTAAGTTATTTCAACAGGCTTTGGATTAGGTCCAGTTATATAATGGAATCCATGTCTTCGCTCTCAAGCAGCAGACTAGGCTGAAATTTTGGGGGCTAAAACTAGATGGCCTGACTAGATGACCTTATAGACTAAATACCATGTTCCACAGGCTTCAACAAAGACCTCTCCTGTGCAGGGACCAACAGGTGCCCTTGGCCTGTAGTTCAAATCTACAGACCAGTTACAAGACTACACTCCGGTTGTATGCTTTTTCTGTCCTGCCGTCACTCAAATGAAGGCCAATTCATGTGGCAAACATTAGTTTTAAGGCTGAATGCATGATGTTCACCTGCTTCCCCCCATGTGAAATTCCAGTGCAAAAGGAGGATGCACAGCTAGTCACACAAATATGTCTCGGCATGTGGGGTTGTAGCAGACACCTTGTCATATTCCCTGAAGGGTTTCAAATGCACCGAGGACACCTATAATCCTGCTTCCTTCACTCTCCTACAGTGTAGGATAGCGCTCTTTGCATCAAGAAGTTAAAACATCCAACGTAAAAATCCATGTTAGCTCAGAAATGTCTAAGTTTCTACATGAGCATCCACCCAGCAAAATTATTTTTAAACTCAATTTCTGTGTTTGAGGTAGATCAAAATGGAGACAGTAGTCTCTTAACAGGTTTTAATACCACAGACAAGGATACAAACACAGCCAAGACTAGCAGGGAGGGTGAGACTCCATCTGTCAGGATATCCGCCTTCTAGTGCAGGGCTATGAGACCTTGGCCCCTCACATCTCCGTATCTGCCTCTCTTCCTCTTGTCTACGCAGATTGAAAGCTCTGCAAAACCAGACTATCTCTCAATGTTTTATACATGGGCTTATTTTAGCTGGGATTTCTAGCCAGTTCAGACCCTACTTCCAGTTTCATGCCCAGAAGGACTCTGCACTTGCGCCTGCTCCTTCGGCTGAGTTTGAGCTTCCCAGGACCTCCAAAAGACAGGCCATCTCTGCCTACCCCTCACTTCACCCCTGAATTCAGCAGCCTCAGGCTGAATGCTTAAGTTAAAAATTTGGGTCTCATGTCAAAAAAATTAATCCAAAAATGGCTGTAACTGTTTCTTGGATATTCAGTCCATTCCTCCTTTCACACTATTGCACTTTAATGATGAGAGCCTATCCTGAGTGGTATCTGCAGACCCTTGGAGATTAAAGTGGATCCCAGAATTGCATGGATCCCAGAAAAACACAAGCTTTTCTTTATGGCTGGAACTATTGGTCAAGAAATTCACCTCAAACAATCTCTGAGCAGCAGGCCATTTGCTCATTCTTGATGGATCAGGGAAGAATAAATTATTTTTACAGTCTGATAAAAGACCTTTTTTGTCTATGAGACCAAGGAGGAAAACCTATTTTCCTTTCATATTCAAACCACAATTGGAAAGTCAGTAATGTGCAATGCAATAAACCACATTTCAATCTCATTTGTCCCCACCCAGATGGGGAAATGCTGAGGTCAGAGCAGGTGATCAGTAAGGTCCCTTTGGACCTGAAATCCCATCAATGTACTAATTGTTCTCAATCAAAACAGCATTTTCTGATAAAGAATGGTTGGAATGAACTCTGATACTGCAAAATAATAGCCCACTTGTGTCTTTCTGAGTAAGAGGAGAGAGTTTCTGTCCTATCACTGCAAACGTTGACATTATTTCCTTCTAATATGTCTCTCCAGCAAGCAGAGAATATTAAGGTGGTAGCTGCTGTGCACTTACTACAAAATTAAATGCACCAATAAGACAAGCCAAGAAAGGAAGGAAATGCAATCCATGAGCCCCAAAAGTTCCTAGATTACAGACTACCAAGACCAAGATTCCTATATACTTTAAGGTATTTGTGTAAAAAGAAAAAAAAGAGAGAGAGTGCTATGCATGGCCTAAGCTGCTCACTACAACGATTGTTAATGAGTTCAAGAAAGGGCTGGAAGAGTTTGCAGTATGCTTCAATAAGATGATGAGGAAAGCATGTCAGAGATTTGTTGGTGCCATTTTCCCCCAAGTGCCTAGGGACCAAGTCACAGGTCTGACATTAAGGATAGGGGTGACAGCTGTATTGAGAATGAAACTAATTACTAGAACAAGGAAAAAAGCCACTTCTGTGTTGACAGAAATATTTGTAAACTGACTTTGTCTCCTGCAATGACCAACAGTGGCCACTGAGTGAATGCCTTCCAGAACTGCAAGCCACCAAGGATGTGATTTTCAGTCCCACAGAAATACAATAGTATATGGTGGATCTTGCAAAATGTTTGTCACTAAAGGAGGTCACAGTAGGTAAATGCCCTGATCAAGCAATCTAGATCCCACACAAAGAGACTGTTTTACCCAGGCGGAGCTTCACTAAGTCAACAGGACTCTGACTGGGAGCAGGAACAAGCTGAGATGCTTCCTGCAGCAGCTGGGCTCTGCTCTAGAACAACAGTCCTGGAGGCTTGGTCCTTCCTGAACACACCAAGCTGCACAGAAAGCAGCACCCCACATTTTCCCATTCCTCCCTTTCCCTGGGCCTCGCCCCTCATTTGAGGGAACAAGGGACAAGAGGGGGATCCAATCCCTGTCCCTGAAATCCCTGACCTCCCTTCTGTGATGCTGACTTACACCAGCCCTAGTGCTTGGTTTTTGTTACCCCTTTCAGGACTGCAATCAAGACCAACAGATTACTTTAGAAAAATCCCAGAAGAGTCATCCACCAAAAGGCTGCTTTTAATTCCCAATGAGATGAATGAAGTAGAAGGACACCTTTGAGCTCCACTGGTCCCAGGTAGGTGAAACATCAAGCACTGTCCCAGCATAGTGCTCTTGGGATGCCACAATATGGCCTCTTTCTTCCTCAGGGTTTACTCACTTGAACTGAACTTGGATAACTTTATCATTTTTCTTCCTTGTATCTACCTTTGGAGGGGCAAAACACTTGTGAATAGGAGTGAAAAGGAGAGTAACAAAATAATTTTTTTATAGAATGAAAAATCCATCTTCCTTAGCAACACCTCCATAATTTTTGGTTAGATCTACCGAAATATTTAAGAGAAGAAAGTGGGTCATAAAGATACTTAAATATGAGAAGTGGTGACAGCTTAACATAGTAGGAGAAGAAGAGCTGGTTAAAACATAAAATGTGAGCTTTCTACTTGCCTGGATGGTTTAATGGACATAGTTGTCATTTTAGCTGCTTAACACTTCATGCTAAAAAGATGTGTCAGATTTCCCTGTGCTTACATGGCAATTTTCCCAAGTAGATTATGAAACTGAGAAGATAAGTTCTTTTACAGTTCATGGGGGATCTGCTATTCAACTGGATAGCGAGTATGAAGATAAGCAACATGCAAAGCATTGGAACAGAAAATCTTGGTTTCTGAGAAAAGGTTTGCTTGTTTTCTAGTTTCTTTAACATTGCTTTTGCCCTACTCTGCTGTCAGCTGTCAAACTGGGGCAAAATGAGAAGTTCAGAACACACCTCCTCTTCTGGTTGTTTGACAGTTCAGAAAAGGTTACTTTCTCAGGGCAAAACATTATCTCTATGAAGTTTCCAAGTAAAATCCTTTCAGAAAGAAAAAACGTATCTTTCTTTCTATAAGACATGCTAGGACCAATTTTGGCCCTAAAAATGACAGCAGCTTCACTGACATCAGCAAAACTACTTTGATTTTCCATTGGTGCATATCAGAGATCAAAATTGCACCTCTTTGTCCAAATACAGACACCATTAGCTGAAAAATATCTTCCAAGCTTTTCCCTCCTCCCAGTCTGTGAGGTGCTGACAATCCTCAGGCATCGCAGAAACCCTGGGATAGTACAGTTTTGCTTGTGCTTAGAAGAGCGCCATTCACTACCTACTGCATCTCTTGCTTGCTTTACATTTAGAAGCATCAGTACCAAAACCAGCTACGCAGGCACTGAATACACAAGCAGATACCAGCTGAAGGTACATAACTTGGAGATCCAGGATTGGTGCAATTGCAAACATTCATTGCAAGAACAGAGTTAAGAAGTGGAAGAATTTCTATTTCAGCAGCCTGCAGTAAGGTAGTGACTAAATGAACTGGTGAAAAATCAACAGCATTGCCTAAAGTTTTTTATAATAGCAAGGCATCAATTTTCTGCTAATTCAAAAGTGACACTAATTTAGCTATGTAGCAGTCTCTTATGACTGTCTAACACATTTTTAAACTTATAAAAGAAAATAGCACATACTGCCAAAAATTCTGCTTATTTTAATAAAGACTAATACCAAAAAAGAGAACTTTCACAGCCTCTCCTGATGAGTTGCTGTGAAGTCTGCGAGGAAGCAGTAAGTGCACAGCTTCAACTAGCCAGTGGGAGCCAAGGCACTTGTCTTAGACTTACATAAGAATCAGAAATGGTTTAAGAATCTCATTTACATTTTAACAAGTAATGCAGGTGCTGAGGAGTCTCCAGGTCAGTGCCTTTGGAAATCTCACCCACCTACATGGAGAGAACTATGGGATGAGCCTCCCCCTATATTTTTCTTTTGTTATTGGCCTTTGCAACAGCTGAAAGTCAGGTTGGCGGGACACCGAGGACCTCAGTGCCCTGCTGACGGAGTCTGAGTGACTCACAGAGATTGCCAGAAGATGTGGTGCTGCCAACTCTTGTGATTTCCCTGTCTCTCTCTACTTAGTGTTCTTCCTCAAAGCCTTGCTTTATTTACATTACAACATGAGAGTTTCAGCTGTTATTAAAAAGCAAAGGGGTTGGTCTTGTTTGGACAACACCAACCCTACAGGCTCCAGAATTGAAAAGGGAGGACAAAAAGACTTGATAGTTCTTGCTTATGTACATTTTGTAATTTTAAGCTGGTCCCAGAACCCTTTTTTGGTAGTGAAAGGCAATGATGGAGCCAAAGCATGAGGCATTTCTTAGTGCTCCCTGCTGAATGAAGTTCATGGATACCACGTGGGGAAGGTGGCATGATGTTTCTTGGAGACAGTGAGGAGGAAGGACCATGAACAAACCATAGGGAGGTGGGAATGTCAACCTGCATTGCCAGATTAAAAGGCCCTCAGGAAAGTCTGTCCCCAGGGTTTTGTGGAGCTAGAAACGCTGCCAGAGGTATAGGTTTTCCCCAGGCATTTCCTTTCCTGGGCAAATTACATCCAGGAGAAGATGAGCATGAAAAATGAATGAAAGAAACCAAGCAGAGGAATTAACTGAACTCCAGGCACCTTGCTCAGAAAGGATTTGGCTGCAATGTTAGCTGAAGGACTTGGATCTCATTTTTCCACGCCCAGTAGCCCATCCCTAGGCTCACTATCTTGGGCCCAGTTCAGCAGTAATATAAGAGTCACTATTTCCTTGAACTGAAAGGACATTTTCACCTGCTTGCTCTAGGGAAGAATAAAACTTCTTGTCTACCAGAGCTACATGAAAAGGAAAAGAAAAACAGATTTTGTAATACAGTTGCCAAGATCAAAGCAAACCATCTTTCCCCATAATTGGATTCACTCTTTTAAGCTTTTGATCTAAAATACGACACTCAGAATTTAGCGCACAAACAAATCATCAGTTTGTCAAGGTACTGAGAACCAAGGTTAAGCTGAAATACTCCAACATATATACCCTCCAAATTAAATCAAACCCTGCTGCACAGGACCAATTTCTGCTATCCTGTGCACATATATATTTCCCTACCCAAAACGCATAAAGTGAAGCATTTAATGTGAGCTTTACTCATCCTGCTGGATTCTGATTAGTTGAAAAAATGCTGGTAAGTAACAGATCCCAGAGAAGCAAATGTTTATGCTTGCCTAAACCTAGCCAAGGAAATTTTCTATGGTGGAAAAACTGCCTCACCATGTAGGGTGCCATAACCGGGAGGGTATTAATAGAAATAAAAATATAAATGCCTACTTGTTTACAGTTCTGAATTTAACTGTTAGGTTGCCAGAGCAGAGCATATCATTTCTCTAGAGACACAGAACAAAATGTATGTGTCAAGCACAAACCCCTAATTCAATGTAAGTGTTTCGCAAGAGCCCAATCCTGTTTCTGCCCAGTCAATAGCAAACCAGGGGACATAAGTCCAGTGTCTAGACACTTAAGTAGCAACTCCTGCTCTCTGCTGTGCAACTGAAGCAAATGCATACAATTTTTTTTTAGCTTAAGGAGACATGCATAATCTGGATTTGAGTGTGCACATATTATGGAGGCAGAGGTCTCAAAGATAAATTGCATTCCTAAAAGTTTCATGCACGAAGTTCCTTGGAGAAAGGGGAGCAGGGTGCTGTGTCTGACTACCCAAAGTGCAAGCCCACATATTACTACACATCAGAGAAGTCACGGAGAAAGCACCTTCAGAAATCTCCCAATGTGGAAAATCCATGAGTCTAGGTTTAAAACCCATCCTGAGGTGCAACTGTAGGAAATCAGGCTCTGCTAATCCCCATGCTCACAAAACTGCATGTTACAAAGGGAAACCTGACAACCTGCTCCTCTCGAGGCAATTTTAACACTGCCTGGTCTTCAGTCACTTCAGGCAGAGTTTCATCCTGTGCCACACCTGCTGATGTCTGGGCAATGTCTACTGAATCCCAATGAGACAAGAGTTTGCAGCATGCTCCCAAGAGCATAGAAGACTGTTAATTAATAAATAAATAAATAACAACTGCATTATCTCATGAACTCTGATCTTATTTTACGATCACTTCATATTCCATTCTTGCCTTTCATATCCAGCAGTGCACCCCACTGCAGTCTTTATTTGACAGTGCAGGCCTGTTCTCAGGGGTCAGGAGAACATAATGGTCCTTCCAAAAGCCACATCTTGTGTGCGCATTCCCAGTACCCAGTCTCCAACCTCAAACCACGTGGTGGTGTGTGCACCCGCCACACACAGTCTTAATATTTGGCTTGTTCAACATAAGAAGAGAGGAGACCTGAAAAGTCCAAGTAACTGGAGTTTTAAAACAGGCCTGGATACCTTTTTTGTAAATACATTAATATCCTTTAGAAGTGGAGGAGCAAAGAGAGCCATCTGCAATCTCTTCCAGGTGACTGTGAAAGCTTTGGTGAGTCACTTATTTACAGTATGCTCTATCCACACACAAAGGTCTTGTCAAAATTTGAGTGACATACAATGAACCACAATCTGATTTTGAGGTCAGATTTTGCCTCCATTTACCATTCTCCTCTTTCTTTCTTCCCCTACTAAAAGGTTACCTGGGATTTGCAGCCCTTTCTACCAAGATGTTGACATCTCAGGTCAACTAAGGTCTCTAACTCAAGTGTGCTGAAGAAAACTGCTGTGAAGGTTTAAGACAAGACTGACCATCCCTCAGCCAGTGATTTATGGATGGGAAATAAGAAATAAGTGTGCGTTTGTGTCTCAACCACCCATTTCACCACCCTGAACACAGTGGGATGTATCCATTACTGAAACTTGATTCACCAGACTTATCCACCAGAGCCCCATGATAGAGTGGACAAATGCCTGGAAGAAAGAACTAGAAAATGCCAAACTCTCCCCCAGCTCAATTTCAACTTGCAGCTTCTGGTGGGCGATGGGAAGAGACAGGGCTCCTTACTGCCACGGGTTGCAGGCAGCGGCACAACAGGAGCTTTACTGAGCCCTCGGAATTAGGCAGATAACACTGAGAGGAGTAAAATTATACCCAATTTATTATTCATCTCTTATCTTATGGAGTGTTGAGTAGGTTTCACTCCATCACCCCTCAGCAGAGTATCTGAAGACACCCAACACGCCCAGCAACATTGCCTGCAGCCACGCCCCATTACCTGTGCGAATTTCCCGGTACACATCACCCCATTCCAGCGTGGGACAGTGAGGCACCCGGGATGACGCAGCAAGTAGTTGTCCGCTCTGCCTATGAAAGTGTCGGGATACCCTGTCACCGAGCCGTCCAGATCATGGAAGATAGACATTTTGTCACCATCATTATCATTGTTTCCAAACCACTGGCCTGGTCTGCCAAAAAACACTTTCAGTCCAACCTAGCAGGAGAAAATAAGAAGAAAAATCACTGGTTAGCCCTAAGCAAGGACTTGGGTTTGCAGTGTTTTAATAGCCAAAACAGTGATACAGCTAGAATTAGAAAGCTCTGTTGTTTGAGAGTTTTGTTTTGCCTCTTCTATTTAAAAAATTTCTGACTGTATTGGTTTTCCCCCTCATTTCTTAATCCCAGGAGATATTTTCACAAAACTTATACTTTTGGTTCTTTGAAATGCACCCACACAACCATGTATTCCTTGAAATCACACAGCAATAAATTATGCAGTGGCAAAAGGAAGAGGATGACTCAAAGGGTAGTGAAGTACTGGAAGATTATGAAATTTACTGAGGAGTACCACAGCTGTGATCAAAGAAACAAAAATTGGTAGATATTTGGTGAATTTTCTCATATATTTCCAATGGCGGTTCTAAACAGTTCTTTGAGTGCCATTTTTTTCTAATTGTTCCCCTAAAACCTTATAAAACTCACAAAAGAGATAGCAATTCTCAGAACTGGCTCTTGTGCACATTCTAATATATCCCCTGAAGAATGTTTTTTTAGGAAAGAGAAATAACAGGAAACAGCATTATCCTCATTATGCATAGCTTTTTTCAAGATTTTTCAGTAGCAAAAAGAATCTGTCCGATATGAAAATCCAGCAAAACAAGGAAACTGCAGATGTTCAGCAAAAAGGCATGGAATATTTTAATGTCTGCAGAGAAAATTATTACAGTGTGTGACAATTAAGTTCTGAAGTAATCAAGAAAATAATTACTCCAGGTCAAGCAGTCTGAATGAATCCTGCAGCAATGTGTGTAAAAGCAGACGATATAAATAGCGACTGGATCACGCCGACCCAAAGGACTGTAATTTGTTCCATTTAGCCCAACTAATTTTAATTGGACTGTGCACATGAGTAAGAATTAGGGTCAGCAGGATTAGGCTGCAAGTTTACTAAGGGCTTTAAAGGCTTTATTTTAACAATAATAAACAGAACAGCTTAGGAGAATAGGAGGGTCATTGTGATTCTGAGTTGGGTGGAAAGTCCCATTGGCTTAAAAAGAATGACCGCTGCAGCAACAACTACTTGCAGAATAAAAGCCTTTATTCCTTTAAAATTAAATTAGAGCCTAGAACCATTTTTCTGCCACCGTCTTGTCTGAGTCTCATAAACAAACACCTGAAGCAGTGTAAGGGAGGCTCAAACACATGGAAATGTAATGTGTATTTTTGAATGTTTTAAAACCTTGTCTTACTGCACTGCAGGAAATTTTTGCCCAAAGGGCTATTTGGCAAAGTAGGAGGATCTCAAAAGTTGTTTTTTTTCTTTCATTTTAATTTATAAAACAGGAGAAATTTAAAAAATGTAAACACGGTGCTGCAGCTCAAAGCTCCACTATAAATACTTTGTGACAGTGCACTTCTGGAGTTGAATATGAAAACAGGCACTTCACTGGGGAGGAGAACAAAGTCAGCTGTACTTCAAAACAAACTAAGGCACAGCCAGTACAGCTTACATTTGATTAACACTCTCAGTGTTTCCATCCAGCAGCAGACAGTTTTGGTGCTAACGCTAATCTGATCTCTAACATTCTCCTCTAAAAAGTCTGAAAGTCACAAACAAAATGGAAATGTTAACGAGCAGTGTCACTTCTTTTATAAGTCTCAAGGTTATCTTACTTTTGTAAACTGAGGGATAGGGGTGCACTGAGTTTGCAGTTACAGCTATGGCAACATGTATTTTTTCCTAAGTGAACACACATGAACAGAGAAAAGGCTCAGCTTGTCAGGTATGTCCATGTGGAACTAGGAATGAGCTAGAAGAGGGTACAGAGGCAGGTCATGTCTAGCTACCACACTACTATTCAGACACCTAATTTTCACTAGGTGTCGACTACCTGGGAGTGATATAGTATAAAGGTTACTTAAATTACCTGTCTGAAGCCTGACAGGGAGACCTGACAGATGATGGTTACGTGAGTACGTAATCTCTTGGGAATATGCTAACTCAACCTGTCCAAAGGCAGCACACCTAACACAGCTGCAGACAAGTCCTGAAGACTGCAGTGGAAAACACTTTCTATATTAAAAGTGAATAACGTACTGGAAAACATCATAATAACTTGCAACTTCTTCTAAAATTCACATATGGGCACAGGCTGCCAAAAAAAGCCTTATCACTGTATCACTGTTACCATTTTAAGGAAACCACTTTCAACCAGTGTGGACCTTCCTCTATTTTACCACCCAAGGACTCTGCCCTCATTAGCATGGCTTTTACTGTGCTGGAGTGATGCAAGCCCTCATCTTGCAGGTTCCTTTTGGTCAGGAATCTCTTTAGGGTTTGGGTTTTTTTTTGCTGCCTTCTTTTTCAGGGGATAACAGACTTGCACTTTAACTCAGTGTCTGCTTTTCTTTTTCCCATCATGAACTGTTTGCAAACTTCTGCTTTGACGCAGAAACCCAGCACTAAGACAACACAGGCTAAACATAGTAAAAGCAACACTAGGAAGCGCCCATCTCGTAGCTAGCCAGGACTGCAATCCCATGGGAGCCGCTAGACCACAGCCAGGAGCCAGTGCTGGCCCCTCTGAGCTCTTCTGGGGACCACAAACCCACCCGACACAGACCACTGGGATTTCTTTGGCACAAGTAATTTCAGAGATGCCGTAGTGTTGGCACAGCTAGGAGTAGAATAGGCTTGAAGGTACCCTAAGCTCCTGGCTGGAGGGAAAACTTAACCAGAGGGACTATTAGCAATGGATGTGAATTGGGACAGTTTGTGAGTCTTCTGCACCTGCTGGAGGTGGCCTTGTTCATGGGAGCCCAAAAGGTCACAGACAACCTCTTGCTCCTCACCTCACTCTATAGGAGCTGTGCATAAAAAGAACAGAGGCGTGAATGGGTTGCTATTTTATGGCTAAAAAGAGATAGGTCTTCTTAAGAAATGATGCATAAGTGTCCTGTTCGGGCATGGCTCTGTTCTGTGCTGGGGCCATCTCCTTGGAGCTCTCCAAATCCTACTGACTGACAGTAAACAGACCTACAGGAGACAACTATCGGTCATGCCCTCAGCTGGGTTAAGACCAACTACTGCTTCCACTGCTTTGAAATAACTTTTAAAAAGCACCCTTTTAAAAACAAACAAACAAGCCTATCAATAATTTTGCTATTGATAAATGCACAGATATCTTAATATGTGAGATACAGGTTTGTCAACGGAAAGGCAACTAGAATATTTTTTGTGGAGCATAATGTTTAGGTCTTCTGTTCTACTTGACCATTATTTTTATGCTGGAATTAAACAAGACCTGAATGGCTTTATTATTTTGCTGTCTAACCAATCTGCTGATTAGTCTGATTAATTATACAATTATTTCTTCAGCATGACTAATAGTTTTGTCATCGCTATACAACTTGCAGTAATGTTTAATTTCTTCTTAAAAAACAACTGTAAAATGATTGTCCTTTAGGGAATTAGTACTTAGCTACCTTTTAAAAAGTAATAAAATGAAGCCTGGAGATGGTAAATTAATTAAAACAGTCTACAGGCTCTATCTTAACTAGTCAAAGACATATTGTCTCATATAGCAATCAGCAACAAAACAATAAACTAATTGTGATCCTTCAAGTCTGAAATCAGATTTAGCACATTTGGGTTCAATCCAGGTAAAACAGAATCAAAGTGAAAAGTGCTGGGATGCAGGTGGTTACAAACATAAGTGGTTTTTAAGTTGGCAAAATACCAACTTCAGAAATGGATATTTCTTGGAAATGTACATACCATAAATAATTACTGGGATAATGTCATTAGGTTTTTTGTAATAGGCTGACACTGTACTATTTTAATTTGCTTTGCAGAAGTATTTAGTAAGTCTTCTGACCATGTTTACCTTGAAAACCTCAGAGCTTAAAGGCATTGCAGTACTAAACTGCCTCTCAGACAAAATATGCTGGGATACTTAACGGGCTCATTGGCCTCAAACAGTGCAGCTGTGTTAAAGAGTTGCATTTTCAGCCATTCAAGAGGGAATCATCCCTTTGCTAATGGGCACAGATATCATCTGTCTGAAACCATTCTGCTAGACAGAGTCCTACATCCATTACTTGAGGAAAATTTCCACTTTCTTCCAGTCCACCAATCAAACTTTTTCATCACACATTTTTCTGTAAGCTCCCCTCCCCAGTTCCAGGCTGATTTTCTCATTCATGTTCCCCATGATCACCTTATAACCATTTTCCCAAGACAGGACATAAAGAAGGTAAGGCAAATAAGCCCTTATTCTTGTTCCAAAGCTCCCTAAAGCATCTAAGGTAACTAAGATCTCTCTACTGAACTGGACAGGAACTGTGTTTTCTTTAGAGGAGCAGTCAAGTGACTGCAATCAACATCATCCTTTCATGAAATACCCTCCTGTTGTTGGTCTAAAGTGTACCAGAGAGGGGACAGACAAACTAACTGTTTGCCAGAGGGAGTGATATTGGTCAATCCCAGAGCAATGGAAATTTTCCTCAAGATAAAGCCAAACCTCAAGCCAAAGTTACTACAGTTCGCAGACATCCTAACAAGCATGGACCTTGTTTGAAAAAAGCTAAGGACAGGTTATGATCCCTGGGAGCAGGCCAGGTGGAATCTATAATTTCCCAAGCCAAGTGTGCAGGGCCATGATCCCTGCAGGCATG